GTTCAGAGACTCACAGAAACAATGCCAAGCCACACTGAAGCTGTTCTCACAGCCCAACACCTCACTAAGACACTGTGTTGCTTTTTCCTTTAATTTTTCACCCGTCTATATCTGGCACCTCACAGTTTTCATCATTTTACTTTTAATGTCATCCGACTTGACAACCCGAGTCAGCAGCTGGCCTTGTGTTAGCGTGTTAGCCTGTGTGTGGGGTTACCTGGGGTTGAAACACTGGCACGGCTGCTTGCTGTCCTTGCGGCTGCGTGTCCATATCCATGGTGTTAGGAGCTCGATCCTGTACACCTCTGGAAACCAAACACACAAAACAGAACTTCTGGTTACGAGCTTCAACGTCGACTATGAAACAAAACCCTCAGCTATCAGTTCCTTCAGAAATATCCCGAAAGGCAACACAATCATGTCCTCTGTTGTTCAGTACCAAACTAATAAGTGATGGTTGCTGCCACGGTGTCCAGTTTCAGCAGAACTGGAACCTACGTCATGCCTGTGGACTTGACACTCTTTGTCTGGGTTCCTCTCAAGTTGCAGCTTTGACAGAGCTACAGCAGACAGAAATACGAACCTGAACAATACAGAGATAATGCGACTCATTTCTGTGGCATTCTTCGGAGGAAAACCTTCTCGGAAATTACTGGTTGTACTCGTTCGGGCAATTCCACTTTATTTTCTGAGAAAATATAGGTCACACATAGGTGAACGATTTGCCTGTGGGTGTATGCCAGGTTGCTGTTTAATTACATGTTCTGGCATGTACCCTAGATGGAAGCAAATTGCATAAGAAACACTGCCACTAGTTGCTTGGCTTCTCACCGCATTTAAAACAGACAGTGCCATAATATGAAATGCTACCTGAATGAATTATTTAAAACTTTGAATAAAAAAAAAAGAATGATGCAAAAATCGTATTTACACATGCAATTAGCCTATGATTCCAGTCTACACTCAACTTATGTACGTGGGAAAGACGGTGGAGAAAGGAGTTTGACAGATGTGCCAGGATCATTTCCAGTGCGCACTATATAACACATAACACATAGTCTAAGAATTAACACTGGTTTACTCATCGTTTACACAGGACGCAAAGCATGCATCGCTGAAAACATGTCACATCCACAAGTACAACACCTATATGAAGTGAGATGTTTGCATATATTCAACGCACAAAATTAAGTCTTGGAAATATGTGTGCACATTTGCTGTGTTGCTCGAGTGTGTGTGTGTGCAGGCACACTGGGTACCTGTGGACAAAATGGAAATAGCAAATGCTGGAAAGTATTTACAAGAAGATTCTAAAAACAGAGGCCAATATAAGAAAAGTTCAAACTCTGGTTATTCAGCAGTCAGTAAAAAAGAAAGAAAAAAAAAAAGGCCACTACTAGAATATACTCAGTAAACTTATCTAGATTCTAGCATTTGGACTGCTTTCTTATTGTAGTGTTGCATTTACACACATTGCAAGCACAAATGGACATGCACATTGAAAAGTTGTACACAAAGGGAAGAAGACAAAACACACTCCACAGCGGGACATTTGCATGTTTTTCCACTGGAGTGAAAGCAGTCTGTCTGCAGATCTGTCAGCCTGTCATTTGCGTATTAGTAACTGTCTCTCGTCTCTGTTGTTGAAAACCTCGCCGGGCCAATTAAAAATCCCCTGGTTTGATGGAGATGAAGACGGCACTGAAGAGTAGTCTCTGTGCTAAAGGTTAACGTGTATATATGATACGGCTACATACGTGTTATCAGTCTATCGATTGACAGAACGGACGCATGCTTTTGTGTGTTTAATATGTTTGTGATGTAAGACAGCGTGTCTGTGTGAGCATGTGAGCAGATACATATCTTACCAATACGGTTTTTAATTATTTTAGAGTACTCCAGCTTTTCTTTCTCGGGGTTCATTGGTTTTCGTGTAAGCTTTGAAGATGGTGCGAGTGTTTGCACACCATGTCTCTTGGGATTGCATTGACTATATTAGGAATAATATTTACTGAAATTTACATTAAATGCTTGTTTCAAACAAGTCTAAAATCAATTCAGATATATATAAAAAATATATAATAACAATAATAAGGTTTACAAATAATAAAGATTTAAAAGCACCCACTGCTGGAGGCAAAAAAGGTATATTAGAGAAACATCGTTAAATGTCTGAGCTGGACTCATTCGCTTCTTATTTTTGACCGAGTAAGCATTTTAAAGAAAAATAATTTTTTCAAAGCCAATTGTCACCGTAGTGCTTGTAAAGTCTTAATTCTAGTCACGCTGCCTAAACACACCACTGGCATCAGACTCAAGTCACTACTACAATCATACAGAACCAGAAGCTAATAATATCTGGACCTTTTTACTGTGAACCATGGTGACAAGTAAAAAAAATTGATTTTTCCTACAGTCGGCACCAGTGCAAGGTGTAGCTTAATCTGTAAAAACAGAACAGTGTTCCCAGAAATAAGCATTTCTTCAGTTGTTTATTTATGTAATTTAGTTTTAATTTTTCATCCGGTCAAAATAACAGAATCTGTAAACACCCTGAATACACGCGTAGATTTTAAAACACAGGGTGTAGAGCTGTGTGTCATGGCGTCTGGATTTCAGTGTCACACAAGTCATCCACCCAGTCGGCCTTCGTGTCTCTTGTCATCATTCTTTGCACTTGAGCCTTGTGTTTTGCTAGATTGAGGCTGGCACCCTTACTCCTCTCCCTAACCCTCTTGTGTTTCTGACTGTCTAAGTGTCAAAATAACCAGGGGGCGTCTGAGCTCCCTGATGTTCTTTCGCCTCCTACATCCCACGTTAACGAGATCAATTAAGACTGCCATGTTAGATTAACACACACCAGGAAACAACACAATTAACAACGCTAACTCAATCAAGAGGAGTAAACAAGGTATGGTCACACTCTCACGCCTCCTATTCACACACAGCTCAACAAAAAGAACGTAAAACCTTGTACTGGTGGACAAAAACACTCAAGCTCATATAAACTTTCATCACGTTAACCGTAAATCTGCTAAAGCCCTTTACTCTTTTTTTTCAAGATTCTCACTTCACTGTTTCCATTGTTCCTCTTATCTCTGTTCCCCAAAAGATTGTGCTTACCGCAGAAAGGAAATTTTAACTTCCAACACAAACGATGGACACAAACAGCAGTGGAAATTCAATGTACCGGTCTGCCTGCATTTCTGCCATGTGTGTGAGAAATGGTGGTTCGCTGGCTGGCAACAGCTAAAAGATAAATCCTCTAACTATTCATAGATGCATGTCAGAGCCTAGTTTGGACCTTTGGTGTGAGACAGCTGCAAATATATAGCAGGACAAACCACGACTTAGTCTGCAGCAGAGAATCGATTTATGCCAAATACAAGGACACACATTATGAAACAATTTGTGCCTTTAAGATTTATTTTATTTTTACTGAGTTTGTCACTTGTTTTCCCAGGTTTACACTCATGTGTTTGTTCCTTTGGAGCTTTAAAATGACAACCATGCCGACTGTCTCGCAATTCTATGATGATAGCTGAAAACGTTACCAAAAAGAAAATCTGCAAATTATCTACAAGCGCTCTCACCGTTCATTAGAGTCAGGCTGTCGGATATGAATACATCATTTCTTGTCAGATAAGAAATACGGGAGACCTACGGTACATTGGGAAGTTAGCCTGTTTTTCTCTCTGACAAACTGATGGTGTGTTTCTACCGAGGAAAATGAAAAAATCATTCCCGTCCAGACCACCAACCACTCAATGTAAACAAACACTGTTTCCTGACTGCGCTCCGTCTAATGTGAGACTCCAGCCCGACTTCCTCACAGCAGGCCCAATCACACATAGGCAATTATATGCTAGCGTAAGGAACGGCGAAACAGAGCGAGGAAGAAAAGGAGATTAACGAGGCTATTGAGTACGGCTGAACAATTAATCAATTTAAAATCAAATGTAAATAGAAACTGTTCAATGCTGCAATTTAGGTGTGGCTGTTGAATAATAAGACCACTTCTGTAATCCTATTTTATTTCATTTAAGCAATGACCACATGGTTGATACGCAAGCCTCATTACTTAAAAGCCACACCCTGTACATTCTGCATCACGTCTGATCCAGGGTTTAAACTGTTATGTCAATGGTTTGTACAAATTCAAGCCCTCTTTCCTTCTTGTGCGACAGTCACACTTTAGAAGGTGCCTCGTGTGTTAATGCCTCATTCCATGCTGGATATTATTACACACTGAAGATTCAACTAAAGCTTGGCTTAAAAAAAAAATAATAGATCACAAATCAAATTGCAAAATCTGTTAGAAAAAAACTGCAATTACCCATTTTACCCAACTTGTTCATCCGTAGTATTCAGCAGTTTGTGGGGAATAGTCTTTGTTCTCACTCTTCCACCACACCTGAGACATATTTCCTTATGCTTCACCTACTTCTTATCATCCATCTATCAATTATCTGCACACCGCTTAATCCTCATTAGGGTGGTGGGGGGCTGGAGTCTATCCCAGCTGACTCAGGGTGAAGGCAGGTTCACCTGGACAGGTAACCAGTCTATCACAGGGCTACACTTAGAGACAGACAACCAAGCACACTCACATTCACACCGACGGACAATTTAGAATCACCAATTAACCTCAACATGTTTCTGGACTGTGGGAGGAAGCCGGAGAACCCGGAGAGAACCCACGCTGCACGGGGAGAACATGGAGACTTACTTCTTATCATACTCACCTCAAATCTGTTTTTGGATTTTTGCAACATCTGATGTCATCACTATTGCTTCACAGACCATTTCTGTGCAAACCACTGGTCACAACATCTGGCCTTCTCTTTTAACAAGAGACCACTTTCATTATAAGTGAGAATAACACTGATACAATTATTTTGTTTTGCTGATCAAGATAATGTCCGTGCCCATGAGGAAATGCATTGTGGATGTCATTTGATAAACAATCCATCTACTGAGACATTTGAGCACTATGCATCCCCTGGTGCAGAAGAGCAGGCTTAAGCCTTTGGGGAAGGTGGCACGCTATGTTTGGACAGTATGATGAGGGAGGTCTGCATTGGCCGGTTTTTGCACCTCTCAGAAGCTGACAGATAGCCGTGCTTCTTTACTGTTGTTTCAGTGTGCGCAGGTGTGCACATGGACAAAAAATATGGGCTCTCCCCCCTCAACAGTCTACTGTTGTACTTTCCCCACTGCCCACGTTGCTGATAAATCCTACAAATACACTCTGTGTTGCCTCTCAGCAGCAGATCCAACTTCCAAAGCAGTTATGCACCAAAAC